AGCTTAACCACGCTGTAATTGCGACAGGATCCTCACACTGGGCGCGCTGGCTATGGAATCTCCGACTCCACTTTGTCTGAAGCTCTGGCTGGCTCTGAATAAAGCGCGGCACCCAGCATTTGCCTATAGGTGGTGGTGGTGGATTCTGGCCACGCGCGGCGAGTAGAGTGTCTGCCATTCGTCGCACGTCAATGATATGTGGTGGAAATCCACGTCGGTCAAGCTCTAGAATCCACTGAACAAGAGACTGCTCTTCAATAAGTGATAGCTTGCGCCTAGTAGACGCAATCTCTGACCGTGGCTGGACACCGCGGAGACGCGTCTGGAGTGTTGATTTTGGCACGTCATACGCTTTCGCAAGAGAGTAGATAGAACTTTTTGGATTATTATGATAGGATGCGATAGCAAGGCTTAGTCTGCCTTCACGAGAAGTCTGTATAGAGCGTTGTTGTCGCGGCATTGTGGTGGTGGTGTAGAGCGTCGCGTCAATTTTGGTGGGGCGGCCAGCTTACTGATACGGCCAGCTTACTGATAGAACACGTTAGTAGTGATGATGTAGAGATTACTGTAGTTATAAAATAATATATCGACACATCGTGCGCATATGTGTATCCGTTGTGGGGTAAGATTTTCCAGATGGGATTGCAGGGGATGAGTCAGGGATGAGGCGAAAAACATGGAGAGAGGCGGGATGGCGGGGGCATGACGCTCCGGACAGCCACCTCATTCTTCATTCTTGATTATTCTCACGTGCGAACAATGAAGAACAAAGCGCAGCTTCACAATACTCTGCGGAGAGAGATGGCTCATGATTCAATCCAGACAAAGCAGAGTCTCTGATACTATTGTATATTCGAACCATATCTATCGTGTATAAAATTGCTCAAGGCGTCTAATGCTTTCTTCAAAAGCATGACGGAAAGGGTATCTTCGCCTCTCTTCCTAATGCTTTTGGTGTCATAACGCCGTTTTAGTCTAAATCGACCTTGAAAAATGATTCAAAAACCCTCGCGTCTAGATAACATGAACGCTGAAACACAGTAGATAAAGGAAAGACGTAAAGTGAGTTGAGAGTAGCGAATCTACAACTGGACAGGTGCAGTTGGATGCTGGTGGTGGGGGTGACTAAAGAGTCGAGAGGTGAGTCAGCAATGGCGCATCGACTCGCAGCACTTGCGAGTCGGCGCATTGACCAAGGAAATCTATTGTTTGACGCGCCTTCAAATCTTTGCGTGTCTCAAAATCTTGCTGTCCTGCTGCGCTTGCTGGAGCTTAAGAATCTCCCTCTGCTCTTGGAAGACCTGGCGCGCCCTCTCAAGGACCATCTCGAAGCCCTCCTTACCCTTTGCAGCGTTTTGCTGGAAGCGCTCGACGGTAAACTGCTCGATGCTGTTCTTGATCTTCTGCCAGCCACCGCATAGCGCCGTGATCTCAGCTCTTTGGGTAAAGGAAGTTTTGGCATCGGGCGATGAGGTGGCGGGCCGGTAGATGCAGGTTTCGCGTACATTGAGGAGGTCGGACCAGGTCATGTTCATGGAGCAGAGGGTGAGCTTCTTCCCGACAGGGTCGACGTATGAGGTTTCATAAACCATGGACGTGTCTTGGCCACCGAGGAGGGACTGTATCCATTTTGGTGTCGACTGTTGGCAAGTGATGAGGCGTTCAGTTCGCAGCTATCGCGTGTTAGCTGAATGCTCTCAATGACGATTCCGCTGCTATGCTTCTGGCACATGAAAGGAGTCACTTACAATTCCTGTCGCTGAGTCTACTGAGCGACTGATGGTGTCGACAGCGATGACATGCGGCGTCTTCTCGTTCCAAGGGCCATATTTCTGCCAGTTGCTCGTCGACACCTCCTCCCACGAGTAGTCAAAGTCAATCGTCTGCTGAAAGTACTTCATCTTGTGGTCGTGTGCCGATGGTGAGCTCGGTAGCTGTGTATATATGCGCGCTGCTGTACGGCGCAAATTCTTGAAATGCGCGAGGTCTGGTGATGTAAAATTGATAAGCCGCGATGGGATTGGTGTGGGCTTGAAGTGGGTTTATGGTGGGCTGGAGGACGTGAAGGGGTGGAAAAGGTCTGGGAGGCTCGGTAAAGCCAGCTAGTAAGCCGTGCGCGATAAACGATCGACGGGGGGCGGACGGGATGTGTGCTCAACGTTTTTCACCGCTCGAGCGCTCGACTGGATTGCAGATTGCAATCGTGCGGGGGTTTGATGAGATGCGGTGTGAACAGATGGAGAAATGGTGCGCTGGCAAGCAAAACAAGGACAATATAGTAGTATGATTTTTCCAGAGTTAAAAAAGATGCGACTGGGGTTACCGAGACCCTTCTATCCGTGCAAGTCTCCGGCAGATGGGCAGAATCTTCGCCACCATACCCATTTGAGCCTATCACATGAAAGCCGCTAGCAATAGGCCGGCTGAGTCGTGTGCCTCTGTGGCCAATCCAGCCCGACTCTCTCCGGATGACGTCCTGCAGCCAATCACACGCCTGTCGTTGGTTGAAGCCGTCGGGAGAGCGCGATGCAGGGCGTGGGGTTCCTGGCGCTTGGAAGGATTAGAAAGAGATATACAGCCTCATAATTCCCAGTCGGAGTCATCACGCGACAAGCCGTATGCAGCAGGTGGAAAGGCATATACTCGCCATTGACGATGGTGAAATCACGATATTTTCGTAATTCTATCTACCATGCTACTTACTCTATATACATGGTTGGTATCATAACTTTTGATATGAAGCGCCAAAACGCCAGACGATGCTATGCAAAGTAGAAGGCAACTATCGTTGCTTATCCAAACCCCTCAATTCAGCCCCTCAATTCAACCCCTCAATTCAACCCCTCAATTCAACTCCGCATGTCACCCCCTCTTACAACTCCAGCGCCTTCTGTGCCATTGCCAAGGCACCGTCAAACGTCTTGTTGCCTCCGATGAAGCCGGCGGTGTGGACGAAGACGCAGCCAGAGATGCCTGATACCTGGTCCAATTGCTCATCCCGGACGCCCTTCCATGCGTCTGGAAGGTCCTTGCGGTTCTCGAAGCCGCCGTTCTCCTTGCTTACAGCACGAATGCGCCACTTGCCCTCTGGCTTGTCTTCGGGGAAGAGCACATAGAGGACATGAGGAGCAACACCCTCGGGCTGCGGCGTCTCCTTCTCCAGTGTGTACAGGTGATCGGCCCAGGGCATGCCTTCAGGAAGCACCAAGATGCGTCCCTGCGCGTCATACTTGAGACGGCTGTCATAGGCTTGCTTGACCTGGTGGCGGGCAGGGAGCCACGACTCGGCGCGGTCAACGAGCTCGTAACGGAACTGCTCGCCGACAAAGCGAGAGGCCGTCATGAAGCGGCTGTCCTCCTCGGCCTGCTTGGCCTCGGGCGTCTTGGTCTCGTCCGAGAGGGGCGACCTAGGGCCATAGTTGTAGCGATTCACAACACTGGCAATGCTGAAGCCGCGGTCCTCAAACTTCTTCTCGAGCCCCGCCTTCTCAAGGTCCGTGGGGGCAATGACGTTTATGCCATTGTCGTTGGCGTCAAAGGCCTCAATGAAGTCATTGTAGATCTTCTCATATAGCAGGTCGCGGTCAGGCCCTTGCAGTCCGGTGACAGCAGTGATGATGTCCTTGCCAAAGTGCATGTACACAAGTCCCGCAGAGGACAGTTTGGTCTTGTGTCCGGGGAACACGACGTCGAAGCCGCGCTGGTGGTGGTCGTAGCGCCTGCTGTTGTCGTCGTACTCGCCGCCCACGTCTACCACTGTGTGGCACTCGGCCAAAGCGGCAGGGTCACGGGTGCGGACAAGCTGCGAGTCGCGGTAGGCAGGGAGCAGCTGCAGCATGGACACGGCGAGGGCTTCGTCGGCGTGGAAGTGGCCATTGTGCGTTCCGATCAAGGGCGCATCCGTCTTGAGTCTCTTGGTGGGGTTTTCGGAAGCCATCGTTTGGGTGTATGTAGCGAGTTTGGGTTGTTTGAATGGGCGATATACAGTTTGAGCTTTTCTAGCAGTTCTTGTGGATGTATGACAGAACTGGTTCAAGCAATTGATGAGCTGTGGTGGTCGCAGATAGAGACTTTTGGTGGCAGGCATAGGGTGAGATGGGTGGTCCCGCAGCGGGCACAGGCTTGGCACTTTTCTTCTCTCCGGGCACTAGTGGGGTGCCAGGCTGGACTCAGCAAACCCATGTCAGCATCAAAAAAGCTGTGCGCAACAACAACCACAACAGACACAAGACAGACGTCGGCAGCGAGACTGACCGCCGGCAGCGAGAAAGGAGGCTAGAAGAAAAATACACGGCACCGCCTAAACTCGTGCCGTGCCTTCGTCACCCTGGCGTGGTTCCAAGATTGCGCACGCGAGCACGCAACAATCCCATCAATACATACACACACCCGTACATACTACAACACCCAGCGCCTCGTCTTCTCGCTCGCACAGATCCACCTCCAAGTGCCTCATCCGTTCCCCTGGCTTTCTGGCGAGGGTTGCCTTCTCTTGTCTGTGTGACGGCCAGTCAGCATCAGCCGCCCGCAAAGCTCGAGCACTTAGGCGAAATTGACACGTGAAGATAGTCGATAGTCACCATCAGGCCAACCCACCGCCCGCCCAACCTCGACCACGCCTGATCCCTTGAGCTTCTCCCGCGGCCCTGCGCGACCGCTGCGCCGCCAGACTTCATTCCTTGACCGCCGTCGCCCACGTCACCTGCCGGGCTCGTCACTGTACGAGCTTGGCGACGACGGCATCCGCACATGTGGTCAACAGCAACGAGAGTAGTCTCGTCTACTACCTTTCTCGGCGCCATCATATTCACCATCCCCCTCGCCTTTGACATTGGCGGCCGGACATGCGGCCTGGCCTTTTCCCTGTCCCTCAGCGCCTACTACTTCCTCTACTCGATCCTCCGCTTGGCCACGCCAAACACCTCTCGCTTCCGCTGGTTCCTGTGCAACGTCGTCGCTTGGGCGCAATGGCTGGCCATACCCACGCTATTGATCTGGAGCCTCAACAAGTTTTCTATCGATGCCAACAATAACTCGGACTGGGTCGAGCGTACCTTTGGCGGCAAGCGTGCCGACTTTGAGAGTGTGCACGAATGGATATTTGGGGCTGAAGGTCTGCTGGAGAGTTTCTCAATTGGTGCCTGGGACAAGACGCTCAGGTACAGCACGCCTGTGTTCCAGGTAGCCGAGGGCTTCTGCAGTCTGTTGGTTATTCAGGCTGCAGGGCAGATTACACGATGGGTGGTGAACCGGGAGCGCGGCGACAGCTGGATGGTAAGATTTTTCACAGCATTATACTGGGCGTTGCTAACATGAATGTCTGCAGATTGGTCTGCTCATCACCTCTGCCTCCATCATCTCAACCTCTGTCTACTTTTTGTGGCGCATTACCACCTTTCCTGAGATTAGCAATGTGGATGCTATTTTGATTGGCGTTGCCATTACGACTGCCAGCTACCTCGGTGGCTGGGGCATTGTTAGCGCACGAGGAAACCCGGTTGAATCCTCGCTTTTGGTGAGTCCTGGTCTCTTGATAACCCCAGTTCATACTAATTCCTCAAAGTTTGCCTATGTCACTCTCTGCATCTACCAAATCTTTACCGACTACCAGCCATCTCCGGGCTCCGTGAGTGAATCCAACGTCTCATCCGAGCCCGCTCTGCCTCCACTGCCACCGATTATCATGGCTTCGTACACGACGCTCCTCCACGCCCTTGGTTCTCTCCCCACTATTGCCCACACCGGCTTCAACCTCATGGTCGGTGCCATCATGACCATTACGCCCTCGGTCATCATCTCCCTGGCCTACCGCGTGTTTGTCATGTACGCCGCAGCTCGCATTATACCCGCCATCCGAGAAAGCGGCGCACGTGCACTATCGCAAGAGCCCAGCCTGGACGACGATGACGAAACGTCCAAGATTCTCGGTTTCCTGACGTGGTTCAGCCCCAGCATCATCATTGCCGTCTACACGAGTCTACTCATGCAGCACTTTGCCAGTGGAAACGGCGGGGATGGCAGTGCGGTGACGGGCGAGTGGTGGACCAATCAGGGTGGTGATGCCGGCGGCAACTTTTGGCGATGGATCAATCTCGGCATTACCATGGGTCTTTATGCGATTGAGCTGAAGATTTCGAATGCGGATGATGATGGAAGGTTAACAAGTCACTGGAAGGTTGACTAGACGGGCATATGAGGTGGGAGAAGGCTGTGTCTTATCGGGTTTACTCGCTGTGGAGGAGGAAAGATGGAGATGCGCAGGGTTGGAGAGAGGATAGAGAGGGGGTCTGAGCAAAGTTCAGACAACGAGGGGCAAGCTGCGCGGATGTGTTAAAAGGAGGAGGTGAGCCATGCTAGAGAGAGCATGAGCAGTTGCTTTGGTCGGAGAAGCGACATATGGCGTGTGTGCGCAATGGCTGGGTCGTTTGAGAGAGAGAGAGAGGCAGAGAGAAGGGAAAAAAAGAAGCTGATTCACCAACTTCTTTATTTGGACCTGTGGTGGTGGTAGTGGGTTTTTTTTCTCTTCGTTTCCTTGATCTTCATCTTCATCATCTTTTCTCCTTGTTTTTCTTTTCTTCCATCTCTTTTTGTTCCAACATCTTGGCTCTCATTATCCATACACCTACGTTACTTTTAGCGCGGCATTTTTCAGATACCCCAAATTTGGATCGTAGTTGAGAATCGTCCTTTTTCTTCTTTTTTCTTGTTGTATTATCGTCTTTTCATTCCTCCTTCATCTTTCGTCTTCATCTTTTTCAGGGGTGGCAATGGCGATGGCATCATCGATGTTCGTTGCTTGAGGGGATTGTTTTTTTGTATAATACTGAGGTGCACACACACACACACAGAGAGAGAGAAAAGGATAGCTAGGTGTATAGGTAGCATGCACTTCGGTGTTTTTTTCTCTTCGTTTGCATTGGAGAGAGATCGGGGGGCATAGTTAATCGCATACACAGTATCTCTCTTTTCTATTCTCACCTTCCCCTTATTTTTCCTTTGCTGGGATCTTGTTGTTGTATTTTTAAAACAAAAAAAGTGATGATGTGGTGGAAATGCCAATATTCAACTTGAGAAATCCATCCTCCTCCTCCTCATCTTCTTCTTCGTCTATTGTCATCCCACTCTAAAAAAAAACAAAAACACCGCCCTCTCTTGCGTTTCCTCGTTTCTCTTCTTCCAAAAACCCCCACCCCGCATGCGCGCCCCTCCCCCCTCCCCCCCTCGTACGAACTACCCATCTCTCCCCCAAGGATCCACCCTGCCCTACCCCTTGTCTCTCCTACTCCTCCCCTGTCACTCGACTCACACGACTCCCATCGGGCAAATATCGGCGGGCAACTCCCTTTTCTCTCTTTCGTAGCCGCATATCCACTTATTTTTGTGGTTATGTCTCCAACGGCTAGCTTGTAGGAGGGGGTGAGTTACTCCAAATTTGTTCGGTTGTTGCCGCGCGTTTGGGGGGGGGGGGGGCGGGTTGGTTGGTTTGATTCCAAGGTGCGCGCGTGTGTGTGTGAGGTGTAAGGGAGGGGGGATGGGAGCGAGCGGGGATGAAAGTGGGGATGGGGTCGGGGTATGTAGTAGGAGAGGGTCGATTCTGCAACGTTCGTTATCAGATCAGCTTCAAGGCATGGATGTCGGGGAGTCGAACGAATCGTTATGTTATATTTTTTGGAGTAGTTTTCTCTTCTCCCCGGAAGCGACGCATGAATGTTGCGTGTGGAGAGATGGAACGATTGTTAAGCGCCGGGGCGTGTGTCGAATGGGGACTAGAGTGTAGATGTGTGCATATGTACTGGAGGGTTACATGGAAGGGTAGGTAGGTGGGATGGGTAGGGCGCGTAGGTGAAACGGTGTGTGGGGTGATGTTTGGAAGTGCTACGTAGGTAGACGACGTATGATGGAGAGATGAGGGAGAGATGATGAATGGGTGGACTGGTCAATGGATTTTGATGCGAGAGTACAAATGAGTTTGTACGTTGGCTTTAACGTAGTATGCTTTGACCAAGGGTCGGAGTATATGTTGAAGCAGTCTCACATTATGTTTATGGAAGGAGCATTGTTTACACACCTGCTCCTGCTGTTTCGACAACGACATGTACGTACTGTCCATTTGGAGAATGACCCACTTTTGTATAGTTTCAACGCGGTTAGAAGCCAAGGGCATACTTCGGCCTTATGCATGTGCACCTCATTTTACCATGTACTTTGCAGTATCTCATTGTGTATCGGCGCAGTTACACTTGCCAATTCTTCCACCACAACCATGAAACTGCCATTTTTTCTAACTTTATCAATGGATGGAAATGTACTAACATGTTCTTGTTATAATCTATCATGTTGACAAGAGGTAATCCTCCCTACACCGCCAGAGAAGGTTCAAAGGATTTGAGTTTTCGCCACAGCAATGATAGTCATCTCGTCTAAGTATGGTGTGCAGTGCGGACCAGGGGAGCATTGGGTAGAAGCATGTAAGTAAGATGTGAGAGTGGTACACATGTCATCTTGACATTGCTGGGCAATGGGTTGATTGTGTCTGGACGTGAGAGCGTGTGATGTTGGGCAGTGGTCGAATCAAGTATAGCATGCTGCACGGCATGTGGACCATGTCTGGATAATGCCGCAATATTTTGCCGAGGGCGAATCCTACAGACTGATTATCGGTGACGGCAGATGTGCAAACCTGCTCGTAATCTTGGTGGGCAGCGGCGGCATATGGAAGAAAAGTCGGCTCACGAGTAGTGGGAGCTGTTGGCCAGAGCTTCTTTTTTGCTAATGGATGGTTGGTGGACGTGCGCCGAAGGAGGGTTCGAAGCGGGCCGAAGAGTGATGCAGGGCGAACCTTTGTGTTTAAAGTAAGTAGTTATGTAGTGTAGATAGATAGATATGCATGTATGCCGAATGCGTGCCGCATGACATGTTTGGAAGTGTGGATGCATCATCTTGGACACGGAAGAAGATGCTCCATAAGCGATTGGGGGGTCGGATTTGGCTGGGACGGCATGTGGCGGCGTAAGGCGGCGGACGAGGACGTTGGCGACAAGCGCGTGTGGGTTCCGCGCTTCCGTTCGCTACTCGAGTCAGACGGCAGAGCGGAAGGATGAGACGGAAAGGCGAGAGAGCAAGGCGAGGTGCTGACTGAGTAGCATCCAAGGCAAGGGGCGAGCCTGTTTGGGAATCCGGCGGATTGGAATTCAAGCTGCACAGCAAAGGAGACGATGCCGCAGTCCCCGTTGTTTGTCTGATCGCTAGCGGGAACGGAACGCGCCGCGAGAACCACGGCGACGGAGTGGTGGGTTTTTCTTTGGTGCAGTGCAGTGTAGTGCAGTGTAGTGCAATGCAGGCATGCTCAGTGGCAATGGGAGATGATGCATCCGTAGTGTACAAGTACATTCATAGTGATACACATGTTGCCAGATGGCTCTCGAGACACGACGACGTGCCCGACAAACGGCCGCGCTTAACGATGAGGCTTTTGGCTAGCCGTGGCATGGAGAGGCGGCGCGCGCTGGTCTGTGATTGGGCAGACGCTACAGTCGCTCAGCATACCATGTGTGCACCCCAAGTGGAATGGCGCAGGCTAGCCGAGGCGAGGCAAGAACAGGCCTCTTGCGCGCTGGGCGCTGGGCACTGGGCCATGTCTGCTCCAACTTTTTTTCCGTCTAGCGCGCGGGTTCCTGGAGCGCAGCAGAGTTTGCAGCAGAGGGGGGAAGGGAAGTGGAAATAACCGAGTATATACTTAGCACGAGCCGGGCCGGACAGCCAACCATGCAGCGTAGGGCAGGAATGGCAGCGGCGGTATGTATGTATGGATATGGGTTTGGTATGAGGCACAGGCACACGAGACGGAGCGTCGTGGTAGCACATACCCATAGCGCAGAGTGGACGGGCGTGGCGGAGGAGGGCGTGGAGCTCATAAATGAAACGCGGCGAGACCCATTGAGCGCCTTCTTGTTTGGTGCTGGGCTCTTTGGGCTGGCTCAGGGCAGGCGGTTAGCAGGAGGCTGTGCTGTGCCATGCCGTGATGGAAGCGCGCGGGATGCTGGGCGATACGCAGGCACCGATCTGATGACGACGCAGCCGGGCCTGGTGATTTGCAGGCGGGCAGGCGGGCAGGCGGGCAGGCGGGCAGGCAGGGCGTTGGCCGGTGGCGGCGGCGGGCAAGCAGGACAGCAGCAGCCCGAGTAGTGTAGTGTAGCAGCCCAGCGGGCCCCTCAGCCAACAGCCAACAACCAACAGCCAACAGCCAACAGCCCGCAGCCAACACGCCCGAGTGCCAATGTCGTGTACACTATACTACCGACATGCACACATCCAGCGCATGCATGCTTTACACATATGGCCCGTCTTGCGGGCGTTGGCCGCGGCTATGCGGTATTGTCGCGCGTTTGAGCCGCCCCACCCACCCACACCAATCACAACCTGCCCGGGCGACGCTGTGGGCCTTGTCCGGCGCCTAGCCGCTTTGGTCAATGATCTATCTGTGCCACCCTTGCGGCCTCTCCACCAGCTCTACCCTCCTCTACACCCACGAAACGGCTGTAGGGCTGTAGACGCGACTTTTCCGCGAAAAAAACGTGGTAGAGGCCACAATGCAGGGTCTATATTCCCCAGATATCGTGAAAACCGCGTCTCGGGACCCTCTGTGCGCTTCTCGATGCTCTCTTCCTCGCCGCCCGGGTGGGCAGATAAACGCGGGGAGCAGGGGCGTCTGCACGTCGGGCCAATGGCAAAGGCCCGACCGGGGGGGCGCCTTCCATCCTGGCCGGACCACCAGCACAAGGAGCGAACAGCCGCCCTCTGTTGCAAGCCTGCAAGCCTGCAAGCCTGCCTGCCTGCCTGCTGCTAAGCCTGTTGCTCATCCGCTGGCAGCAGCCCTCCCACATCCGTCCAGCGCCAGCGCCTTATACTCACTCTTGGTCCCGCCATGGAAAAGGCGCACCAGCTCCCGTGGCTCTGCTAGCTAGCTCCATCCAAAGAGCCGCTCCTCTATCCAAACCTGCCACATCCCTCCCGCCTTCTGAACCATCATCACTACTGCTCCCGCTCAACTGCCACTACTTGACACCCCCTCCCCGCCATCACAACCTGCCACTATCACGGGCACGTCCCGCCATCACCCCATCCATCCATCCATCCATCCATCCATCCATCCATCCATCGCCTGCTCAACTCCCTCTCGACTACCCATCCCGCCAACTGACCAACACCACCAAAGAAGCATCTCTCCCTCCCATTGCCCATCCACTAGGCACCTGCATTGTGCACCACGATACACACTGCCTGCCCGCCCCAGAGCACAGCGGCCGTGCCATGGTGGCTCGCCTCTCTGCCTCCCCATCACAGTAGTCTTTTTTCACCGTCTCGAAACTTGATCAAGTCCCTTCGGCCGAATTTGATATTGCGCACCGGACATGTCGACCGTGCTGCATATGCCTGCCTTTAACACCGCTCCCCATGGGCCTGCCTTTACATCGGTGAATGGTCCCTCGTCCGTGAGCCCCACCGACGAACAGAAACCACCAATTGTTGCCAAATCTTCCACCTGGAGTCCGGCCTCGCGGGGCCAAGAGACCAGCTACCACTCTCCCAGAAGTGACACCAGCCCCTCCACCGTCAGCAGCAGAGACAGGTCCCCCGAAAGCGTCAACAAGCGCAGGCGATCTGCCTCGGAAGAAGACAATATCGCTCGCCGGAGTTCGGGCGAGTTAGTCGCCGGTTCACGCCAACTGCCACATCCTTTCCACACCATGAGCCGCGAGACGCTCACCACCATGGATGCACCCCCGCAGCAAAGTCTTCCACCATTGGGTCGTCCGGATGCCGAGCGACGCTGGCAGACGGAGCCCCGTGAGCTGCCACACACCGGCCACCAGCACTTTGACCACCGGGATCCACGTCCTGTTGAGCCCGTCCGCCCCAGCATCTCGTCAGACTCGCATGCTCGCATGGGCAGCGCAGGCGAAGCTGAGCTCGATGACACGAGCGCCACTGAAGTCACCCGCGCTGGTGTTCAAGTTGAGCTGAAGAAGCGAAAAAGGGTAAGCAATTCAGCCCCCATTCCTTAGGCACCAGCTGACCGTCTGTAGCAATTTGCCAATCGCACCAAAACTGGCTGTGGCACCTGCAGGAGGCGAAAGAAGAAGTGCGATGAAGCAAAACCAGAGTGTTAGTCTCAACCACTTCTACCAACTATCCCCCCTGGCATCAATCTAACCTTCTTCAACAGGCAACAACTGCACTCGAGGTGGCTTTGTCTGTGAAGGCTATGCTAACAAGGTCCCATGGACAAAGAATGGCCCTGCAAAAGCCCCGCCTGCTCTACAAGCAAAGGAGAGGCTATCTGCCATACCAACTTGTCCAGGTTGTAGTCGACCTCACATCCCACACTGCGCGCCTCACTCTACTGAAGCTGCTTATCCAGCACCAGACATTCGTTCAGCAAACGGCCAGGACCGCAAACCATGGAACAACTGGCCCGAGCCGACACCACCGCCACCGCCGCCAGTTCGAGCCCCTTACCCACCAGAGAGTCTTCCGTCAGCTCCTGTGCAGTATGGACAGCCTCCACCAAGCCAGCATGAGAGACACCTAAGTCACGAAAACCAACCACCACCTCCACTACAACAGCCACTTCACCAACACAGCTCTCGTGTTTACCACCACACACCTCACACCATGAGCCATATCCCTACCAGCAGTCCTGCACCTGCACCTGCACCTGCGCCTGCACCTGTCCTGTAAGTGACCATCACTCTCTAGATCTGCGACCGGTTTGTTTGTTGGAATGCTTGTACCGCTTGATTATGTTTTTCAACTTGCCCCAGAAATATCGGAATGCGTTTGGAAGTGTTTGCTGACAAACATGTAGGGCTTCTAAGGCTGTCGTGCAACCGCCGCAGCGACATCATGTGGCCCATCAGCATTCTCGTCCTCCTCCGCCATTGTCCACTAATATACCTCCTGCACAGTCACCAGTACGCTTTCCACCAGCTTCCTCGATGCTGTACAGATCCGAAAAAGACAAGATGCTCGCAGGCGAACCCTTTCTTCCTTTTGATAGGATCCTGATGGATGAACGCCACCAATGCATGGGAGCCCAGCAAAACTTCAACAACACAGCCTATGCCTCGAACCAATTCTCAAAGCAGACGAGGGAGGGTCTCTTCAAGACTATCCTCGCAGCTAGATGGATTCCACCCCGGAAAGATGCCAATGATGTCATTAGCCATTTGGGCAGCAATGTCTTTGTCGCCGCGCCGTTTACCTGTGATTATGGATACCACCTGAACATTGCCGAGAATGTTGTCATTGGTTCCGATTGCCACCTTCACGACTCTGCGAGGATCTGCATTGGGAGAAATACCAAGATAGGCGCCAGGGTCACGATACAGACGCTTAAGACGCCGACCGACAACAAGTCGCTCAAGGGCAGTAACGGAACGGAGATTGCACAGGAGGTGCACATTGGCGAAAATGTCTACATTGGTGACAACTGCGTAATCGAGGCAGGGGTCAAGATTGGTGAAAACACAATTGTGCGCCCAGGCTCGGTAGTCTCTCACGTATGTCACAGCCCAAGATGATTTGGAGTACAAACACTAACTTTTGACAGACGCTGCCTCCCAACTGTGTGGCTCAGGGCAACCCTGCTAATATACTTCCTAATTGACTTTGATTGATCAGAGAACGAATGCGAGATACTCGGCTGCTTGTCAAGCAACCGGCGTCGTACTGTAAAGATGCTGAACACTTTCGGTACATTTCACGAATGACTTTAATGTCACATTACGCACCACCACGTGGGGGTGCCTGGGGTTATTGGCGTTTCACAAACCGGAGGATACCCATTGCTACGCGTTCTTGTGTTTTTTTTGTGGGTTTTGGGATACGAGGCGAGTCGATGGTACATAGTGTACGTAGGGCAACGGGCGGTATCTGACTTGTGACGTCTCGTATTGTATCTTGGTATCAAGCCTGCTGGACAGGGCATTGCTCAAAAACGCACCAAAAATATACTCATCTTCTCAATTGCTCTAAACAGACGTGTACGTACGACCAAGCATGACTCGTATCAGCCACTAGGCTACAAAGACCGAATGCACTGGTTTAGCGTATGTCGAGAGGCTGAACGCTGCTTCACGTGCGTAACGTGATCCGTGCGCCCGATTCTGAGAGAGGGCCCGCTCGGGTTTGCAAAATGCCCGCGGCGAACATCATCAATCGCAGTGCCACCACCAGCGAGGCATTTCTGCCAACAACAATAACAACAATGCCACCCAAGGTACCTCTGAATTGGGGGCTCCCACCCCCTCAATTCCTCATTCCCTCCACATCAGCGCGATGTCTCCTCCAGCAGCAAACCACGCCAACATGCTCGCTCGCATACACCTCAATCCGCACCATTAAATCCACCTTCGCCCCGAAACCCGACCGCTTCGCCCACCACCCGTCCAAACCCGCCTTGAACAGCACTTCAACCGCAGCCCTCGAGCGCAAAGCCCACAGCACACCCCTCCGAACAGGTTTACTAGCTATAAAAAAGGGCATGACATCCGTCTACGACGTCGAAACCGGAAAACGCACCGCCTGCACCGTCCTCCAATTCGACCGCAACCAAGTCGTCGCGCACAAGCGACGCGACAGCCATGGGTACTGGGCCGTGCAAATTGGGGCTGGCCAAAAGGAAGCCCGCAATGTGACAAGGCCTATGCTTGGGCATTTTGCGGGTGCGGGTGTCGCGCCGAAGCGGTGGGTTGCCGAGTTTCGTGTTAAAGGGGAGGAGGGGTTGCAAGTGGGTGTTGGGGAGAGTGTGGGTGCGGGGTGGTTTAGGGAGGGGCAGTGGGTAGATGTGCGTGGAGTGGGGAGGGGGATGGGGTTTGCGGGTGTAAGTTTTTCTTCTTCTTCTTATATATTTTTGCTTGATTGGGGAGAGAGAGAGAGAGCGAGAGAGAAAGAGAGAGAGGTGATTGGGTAGATTGGGAATGGAAAAAAGGGCTAACAAGGAAATTAGGGTATGAAACGACATGGCTTTAGTGGTCAACCCGCCTCCCATGGTCAATCGCTCATGCATCGTGGTATGGGATCTGCGGGTGGATCTCAAGGCTCCGGATCGCGTGTGTTGCCTGGCAAGCGCATGCCGGGGAATATGGGGAATGAGAGTGTTACGGTGAAGAATTTGAGGGTTTTGCAGGTGGATGAGGGGAATGGGGTTGTTGTTGTTACTGGTATGTTGATCACTCTACCACCTTTTCTTTTACTCTGTTTTTTTGGGAGTGTTGAGAGAGATTGGTGGGTTGATTGATTTATTCACTGACAATATCACAGGTTGTGTACCTGGTCCCAAGAACCAAATCATCCGTGTTCAAGATGCGCTGGGTAAACCATGGCCAAAGGGACCCATGAACACGGCTGAGCTTGCGCCTCAGGAAGTACTGGCGGCGGCGGCGGCGGCTGATGCTGCTGCTACTGGTGCTGAGGCAACTACTGCTACCGCTTAGACGAACGAGTATGTGGGATGAGAAGAAAGCATTGTATCATATTATACGATTGAGGCGTTGGAAAGTTTAACCATCCGAGATGAACAAGCATGTACGTGTACGAAGGTGAAAAAAAAAAGCCGCAGAGAGAAGAAAAGAAGTGGACATGAATATTGTGAGGATGGTGTAGTGATAGACGCTTAAGCAAGGGATGAAGAAACATGAACATTGAGTTCTTACTCAGCCATCGTTTAAGAAAAGTGTCATCACTCATTATCTTCATAACTAAACCCCCCTCAAAAAAACCCATGCAGAGCAGAAGGAAAAAAACTCAAAAAAGTCATCATCATCTATATCCCCACTCCACCCTCCCAATACCGTCTCCCCCCCATCGCCTCGCCCCTATTCCCAACACCCCACCCTTTACTATAACTATGCACTTCGTCTTCGTCTTCCTCCCTCACGCGCTCACGCGCACTATACATCTTCCCCCGCGCATACCTCCCCCGTCCATGCACAACCTCATCCTCACCATCCTCATCACTAGAAACATAATCGCTTCCCTCGCCCACGCCATTATCATCGCTATAACCCCCTCTCCGCTCGTACTTGTCGTCGTCTGAAAGATGGCGTCTCACATGATGTTCCTCTTCGGAGTCGCTGGGAAGGTAATCGCTTCCCTCTCCAATCCCGTTGTCGGAGCTGTACGATGAACGGCGGTGCGTGGTAGTCACTGCGCGGCTGAAGGAAGGCGGGGAACGGCGTCGAGAAGGGGAGGGAGAGGGGGAAACGTAAGAGGGAGCTGTAGACGGGGCACGAGAGCGAGAACGCGAACGGGAGACGTAGGAAGGTGTTGTGGAGGGGGGGCGAGAAAGGTAGGAGCGGGCTGTCGATGGGACGCGACCGAGAGAATCCGTATCAGAGTCCTGTGCAGTATCTCGAGTAAGTATTTTGTAGCTTGGGCGACGCTCGTAGCGGTCGAGTCTGCTTTGGCGAGGGGGTTGGCTGAAGCCCGTAGCGCGCTCAGGAGATGAAGCATATGCGTCATCTTTGTAGCGATGGGAGCTGCGGTACCAAGCTACGGCTGCGTCATTTGCGGCCTCGAGGCGCTTGCTCTTTGCATTGCTGCTGTTTCTACGCGAGGAAATATATGTTGCAGGGCGTTCCCTGGATACACTGCTATGGCGGGAGCGCAGGCTCCGGGCATCGTCGCGGTCCTCATCGCTTGAGTAGGCGCCGATAGGACGAGCAGTATGTTTAATGTCGAGGGCACGGAAGCGCTCGAGGAATTGCCTTGCTTCGTGGAGATTGTCGATTTCATGCGGCTGGAGGTGCTTGAGGCAGCTGCGGCTGCGGCTACGGCTGCGGTTCCGGGTCCGCGCTGTGTCGTGCTTGCGGTCCCAGTTGCTGCTGGTCAGGTCGGAGTCGCGATGGTGATGGTGCCGCGGTGGATCATTGTCGTAGTCTTTGGGAGGAGCACGGCGTCGAAGTGGTGGGCTCTCTCGGTCATAGGGGTTAGGGGCAGAGCGTTGGAGCGATGAGCTATCGTCGGGTCGATATTGAGTGTATCCACTGTTGTCCTCTGGTGTTTCGTCGTCGTCATCGTCCACAAAGGCGCCGGGCATACGACTCGCCGGCGTAGCAATATAATCATCTTCTGTCCGGGCGGACTGTGCAATATAATCGGAACTAGGGGACGGGGTCTGGTACCGCGCGGGCCATTGTTGCCGGCGACGCGGGGGGGTTGTGTAATATGATGGCTTGTTATTAGTCCCTCTTTCCCGGGGGCTGTACGACGAACTCATCGGAGAGGGCCTTTCATGATACCGTGCAGGACTTGGAGCCGGATCTGGGCCCTGCGAGTTGATGTAGTCGTCCGAGTCGGAGTACACTGGCTCGGAGATGTATTCTGACGACCAAGATGCAGCAGGGCGTTGGAGAGGTCGAGATGATTGGCTGGGGCAGCGGTGTGGTGCGTTGTACTGCTTGGCCTGCGTTCTACCATGATGCTGGCTGCTGCCGTATGTTCGGTGGGCCATCCAGGATGCGTGTGAGCTGCACGCTGGCTGGACAGTTACAGCTACAATGACGTTCACGTCGGTGGGTGGATAAGGACCGGCGTGGAGATAGTGCTGGGTTCAGGGTTGGTCGGACCCGGTCGGTTGTGTTGTTTGGCAGCCGACAGGGCCTTTGCCGACACGTGGTCAGGGCTCATCCCAAGGCGTAGCGCTAGTCCCGCCTTTCTGGTCCAGGCCACTCTCCACTGGAACAACCTCCTTCTCCCTCCCTTCTTGGCATCTACCACTGCCGCATCGCCAAGAAGGGCATATTGCACGAGATTCGACAGTAAATACTATGTATGAGAATCGGACCTTTTCCCTCTCCCAAGAATCCGTAGAGTACTAACGTTCTCCTGCCAGGCAACACTAGCGACCAGAGCACTACCTGATGGACAGACGACACACAAGCCAGCACTATATTCATCAAGTTCAATTCGAGGAAAGCCTCGGCCTTAACATATCGTCAAATCTACTTGGTGCATGCATTTCAACACGTGGTCTTCCACTGATCAATGCTGTTTCACGGCACATATCGCATCATGTTTGATCATTCCACCTATCGGAAAGGACGGTTCCAAATAAATCCACATCTTGTGTACTTCCAGGAATCCTACGTCTTGAACTGATCAGCCTCGTCATCTTAACCCTGATAGGGCTAATATACCTGTTCCCAGCTAAACTCGACCAGGAGTGGCTATGTGGGGTCAACACCAGCCGCATCATGCTGACATGAAACATCAACACCCGCTCGCCTCCCGATCCTGTCCCGTGCCAAGCCATGCCTGCACAAACATACCCAACGCCTGTCTGCATCCGTTTTGCGGCAATCCCATTGTCCGCAGCTCGTCAATCTTGCACTGTTCACGGGGCGCTTGGCTCCATGGATCCTCCCAATCGAATCATGTATCCTTTGCTCCAGAATACTGGTAGAATATTCCTCCGGAGCACAAGGCGCGACTCATGACTTTGATGCACACCCCTACCCGGTGATGAACGGGTCCTCAGGACCCAGTATTCACTCCCAGGGAATGTTTCTCAGATTGGCCTGTGGGGCTTGCTTCGAAACAGCCTCCTCCGAATCCCGTCTATTATAAAGACGGGACTTGGTCTGCTGCCATGAAAAATCATCACAACAGTATTGTCTTTCACTCTCTCTACTTCTTTCCACCACACGTTCTTTTTTTCAAGTAAACTGTGTTTGCTATCCACTCTCTATTTTTTTTTACATCAACAAGAATTGAGTTATGAAGTACTCTATCTTTGCCGCTATTGCGGCAGCTCTCGCTACCGCTGTCAGCGCTGCTGATGGCGTTAAGGGTGCTGCTGAGGGTTTCGCCAAGGGTTCGTTAGCTTTTGCATTGTTTCCAGAATGTAAACTTATACGTGAACAGGTGTAACTGGTGGTGGCAGCGCCGCCCCTGTCTACCCCAAGACCAACGCTGAGCTCATTAGCTACCTCGGTGATAACCAGGCCCGCACCATTGTCCTCACCAAGACCTTCGACTTCACTGGCAGTGAGGGTAAGGTCACCTCTGCTGGTTGCCGTCCCTGGGGCACTGGCTCCGCATGCCAGATTGCCATCAACAAGGACGGATGGTGCGACAACTACCAGAAGACCGCGCCCAAGGTCCCCAGCATCACTTATGATAAGGCTGGTGTTATTGGTATCACTGTTGGCTCCAACAAGTCTCTTGTCGGTCAGGGCAACAAGGGTGTTATCAAAGGAAAGGGTATCCGCATGGCCAACGGCGTCAAGAACATCATCATCCAGAACGTCCGTTTCACCGAGATCAACCCTCAGTTCGTCTGGGGTGGTGATGCCATCACCGTCGACGGCGGTAAGTTGCAATCTGTATTCAAACTCGCACGCAGTATCTAACAAACGATAATTACAGGCGACATGATCTGGATCGACCACGTCACCACCGACCTGATTGCCCGCCAGCACATTGTCCTCGGCGAGAAGGCTTCCGGTCGTGTCACCATCTCCAACAACGAGATCAACGGCGCCACCGCCTGGTCCGCTACCTGCGACGGCCACCACTACTGGGGAATCTATCTCACCGGCAGCAACGACATGGTCACCCTCAAGGGCAACTACATCCACCACACCTCTGGCCGCTCACCAAAGGTCGCCGGTAACACCCTCCTCCACGCTGTCGGCAACTACTTCTACGCCAACTCCGGTCACGCTTTCGAGGCCGACGCCGGTGCCAAGATTGTCGCTGAGGGCAATGCCTTCCAGAACGTCAAGTCCGCGTCTCAGTCTGGTCTTGCCGGCAAGGTCTTTGCTTCTGGTGGTGCCGCTTGTAAGAGCGGTCTTGGCCGCAACTGCGAGGCCAACATTTACGGTTCTTCCCCTGTCATGGCTGGCTCTGACAGCAGCATCATTGGTAGCTTCTCTGGAAAGAACATTGCCGCTGCCGTGTCTGGTGCCAACGCTAAGAACGTTGTTAACACTGCTGGTTACGGAAGGATCTAAATTGTTCCTTTCACTCCTTTGGACACGTGGTGAAGGTGGCTGAGGTGTACTGCCATACACTCTATTCTTCTGTAAATATCTTTTTTTAGACTATCGCTTTAGGCGATTGGTAAATACACACTATATTGTTGAACAACATATCCAAATCTTCTTGAGTGTTTCACTTGGCGATACCATAGATCTGTTGTTTCCAGTCATTTAATTGAAACAAACGTACACGGGTACCTTGCAGTAAGGCTGCCTGGCCGTGCCGGAAGCTGAACAGGGGGTAAGGAGGGTAAAACCGGCAAAAGTGGGAATTCGATAAGCGCTCTCTCTACGACGAAAATAGTCTAAAACACATGCTGCATAATTGCACTATTTCAATACTTTTGTGCATAACCTACTTTCTTTCTATTGCATTCTTAAATACCCAATTTCTCAATGCTAGGCTAACCAAGATTACATGGAACAACCCCTCTACCAATTACTCAGCCCAGTATATTCTGAAACACTTCCGATTCCATCCACGCTCACTCATCCCTGCACCCTTGAATGCAACAACCGGCTATACTTACACCTATTTCGTTCCTTCTCCTTGTCCCGAACTCCCCCCCTTTCACCCTACCCACGCTTTCAAACAAACCAAAACTAGCATGTCAGGTGTTTCCTAGTAGCTTTAATATGCCATAGCTATAGTTCGTTGCAGGCTTAAAATTAGACTATGTATTGTTGCATACGAGTCACGACTTTTGGGCCACCGGGCGGACGGGTACGGGCCGTTTGGGGGGTGTTTGCGATAGAATATTAGCATCGTGATTTCTGGGAGTAAGCGGGGGAACGGGAGTATATTGGAGGAATGAGGTTTTCCCGGGGATAAATTAAGAGGGAGGGTTTGGGGGTGGAGGGTGTGTTGAGATCTGCAGATGCGGAGGAAGGATAGAATAGGTACTTGGGGATGGGGGTATGTTGGTAACAGATAGGTGGATAGGGATTTAGTAGCTTTCTTCGGGGCTGAGGTTGAAAAATATTGTGATCTCGGTGGTTGTGGTGTTGGGGTGGTGATGCGAAGAACGGGTTTTGGGTAGTTGGTTTGATATAACTACTACTAAAAGTTACTACTACAGAAACTGAAAAACCCCCTAGTGTCATCTCCTGGATAGCCACTTCACTGCCTTTCTACCTCTTCGGGACTGGCCGTACGCCTTCTACAGACGAGAGACATGAGGAAATTGATAAGCAAATGGACTATATATAATCTGTGGATCGAGGCACTTTTCGTTCCCGTATCTTGAACCTGTGCACTTTCTATCTAAGTAAAGTGAACGGATAACGCCTGGTGGTAATTCTGCATAAGCTCTAAGAAAAAGCTATTTGGAGGTTCGGATACAGTGTGTCTGTGCTGATGACTTTGGTCCACTGCTGCGGCATTTGTGCGGTATCCGCTCGATTCAGTCGAAGTGTTTTTAGTGTCAGGATAGTGGCGGGAAATTATGGAATGCCAGGTTCTATAGAAGCATTGATTGTATGACCAGAGTTTTCTCTTCTGTCGATGAAGAAGAGCCGGTTGGTGGATGAAAAGCTCCAGGTGAGATAATGGGGTGCGTTCTAGATTTCGGGATCAAGGTCTAGAATATCTGAATCATTAGAATAAACTGTTCATGTAACTTGCATTCTTCAAGAAGAGGTAGCTGATAATATATATGGAAGGAAGATCCGTTCACTGTTAGTCTACAGCTTTGGTTGTGAGGAACTGGCACTTTGAGCAATTCGCCTCTTATGCCAACTATGCAATCCGAGGAAGACGATACTAAAGAACAGGCTCATTCATATTGCACTTCGAGATAAAAGAAATCCCAAGAACACCTATGGAGGAGAAAAGGAACTTGTTGGGTCCAGGCGAAGATAGAATTCAGAGTGCACAGGATAATCGTTCTGCAGAAGGACCCACATCCAAAAGATTGTCAGCGACTCAAACCTAGTCTCATGATAGATTGGAATAAGGCTTGCAGGGATCGTGATGATATGGTTTCGGCCAATATTTGTGATGATGGATGACTGCGGCAAGACAAGACAGAGTATACCCTTTAAAAGCAACTTCAAATACTTGGTGAAGCCATCATGAAGGCTTTGCACCCAGCCTATCTGATTAAATAGGCAGCCGTCACACGCATACATAGAATACAAGTATCCATAAAATTCATGTCTTCATTGCAATGTAGGTTTACACAAGCGGATACTGGGGCTGCACAGTTGGTTGGCTTGTCCTGTTGGCAAAGCCGCGCACTGGCAACTCTTGGTATCAGACAAACATGATGATCGAAGAATTCACTTTCGCTGAACAGGTACGAATACTTTGTTGAGATAGGTTGGTCAAGTGGTGTAGACTGTATGCTCGGGCGACGGATAACTAGGTCTTAGGGCATGGATGTGGTTGTTGCGCCAACGCCCAGTTGTTTAGTGTGGCGGCAATCTTTCCGCCCGCCGACGTGTACGTACCCTGGCCTGGGGCTTCGTCACCGTGTACCGACATTTTGCGTTCCAATTCAACGCATTGCTACGAACATTACGATTTCTTTTTCACAGCTTGAGACGTTTTTCACGACGCTACCGGCTGCTACAGAAGCGACGAAACTACAAGCGTCCTACGTACCTCAGCAACATTTTCATATCCAACCCGCAACGCAATCGCATCCGTAAATAGCCTGCACACCGCACATGCTATAATCGCAATCTCGTCAGGATTCACAAAAGATGCTCGGCTTTCGGCCCCTATCAGTGGGCAAGAGGAAAGCCCAGTCGTACAACCAGGCACCCTCCGCCGAGCGCGATGTTGAAGACGGCGGATACAATGAAAAGGGCCACGACAGCGACGACTACGAAGCATATATGTCTTCCAACTCATCGAGTCCGTCTTCTTCACGGCACTCTTCAGGCGCATACGACCAAAACCCAAACAACATCGAGTCGCGGCCACTCCGGCAACCCCCCAAATCCCACCGAAGAGCACCATCGAGACCTACCGTAAGCGCATACAGCTACAGAAACCCCCGGGCCTGCACACGATACTTTGGGCTGGCAATAGCATCTACACTGCTTCTGTTCATGTGGTTTCTGTTTAGCAGCAGTTGGCAATCGATAAGAAACGCCGAGCTCGGTCTGCATAAGCCTCCCCCACCGCCAAATGTATGGGAGAGCTTCCCGTTCCTCAAAAGATATCACGGCGGAATCCGGTCGCTTGTCAGCCGGGAAAAGAATGTCCCCGAATACCCTACCAAGCAGGATATCGACCCTGAGCTACCGCCTGCGGAGCCCAAGGATGGGACAAAAGAGCGGAGATCAGAAGGCGCCCACATTGCCGATTCTATATCGTTTGACCCTTTTCCGGAATACAGCGGCGCAAACTACGTGGACAAGTACGGACTGGTTGAGACATGTTATGTTGATGCCAATGACACTATCAAGGTACCGGGGCTGCGAGCATACAAGGGTGTTCCCCAAGGCATGCCAGATAATGTTATTGGAAGTTATGAACTACTGGGTCTGAGAAACGATGTCTGTTTTGAGCGTTTTGGCCGACTGGGTCCGTATGGTCTGGGTTACAGCAAACGGCGGGGCGGTACTGGTGCTGGCATGGAGGGTGACAGGGAAGGAATTGAAGATGTTTGGAAGACTGATGCCGAGGTCGACTTTCGCGAGGTCAACTGGGCTGACGCTGTCAATCGGTGCTTGGAAAAGAATAAGGGCCGCTTCGAGAAGCAACCCACCCCTCGTCCTCATGGTTTCCAGAATATGCGCAAGCGTGACACCGAGACCGAAGAGAAAACACCTATTGACAGCACAACCCGCGAGAAGCCAAAAAAAGCGCACAAGGCCCTTCTTCCACGCACTGCAGTTCTCCTCCGAACATGGTGGGATTACCAGTACGACGATGAGGATCTAATGTACCTTCGCGCTCTCATCTCTGAGCTAAGTCTTTCCTCGGGAGGCGAATACGAGGTCCACTTCTTGATCCATGTCAAAGATGACAACAAGCAGATTTGGGCCGACGAAAAGGTCTATGAAGAAGTTCTCAAGAACTCTTTGCCTGCTGAATTTGCCGGCATGGGCACTCTCTGGTCAGAACGTCAAATGGGGCTAATCTATGGAGGCCTCGAGGAGACCAACTATCGTGGTCTGCCCGTTCATGGCGCCTATCGATCTACCTTTATGCCAGTAACGTACTTTGCCCACCAGCACCCTGAATATGACTACTTCTGGCATTGGGAGATGGATGTGCGATACACTGGACACTACTATCATCTTTTTGAACAAGTCTCTAAGTGGACAGCCGCGCAGCCCCGCAAAGGGTTATGGGAACGCAACGGGCGTTTCTACGTACCCACTGTGCATGAGACCTGGGAGGATTTCAAGCACACAGTGCGTGTGCAGACCGAACACGGCACCAATAGCCAGGCAAACAGATGGTCTAAGCATCTCCCACCGAACCCCCATGTGCCTGGCCGAGAGACGCTCAAGCCTGAAAAAGCGATCTGGGGTCCTGAGCTTCCAGATGACTACCCAGAAATCGAGATTGACCCTGCTGTGAAGCCAAACACTACCATGGCTGAGGACAAGTACGAGTGGGGCGTAGGCGAGCCTGCAGATCTTATCGTATTCAACCCCCTGTTCGACCCTGACCAGACCAACTGGATCCTGGCCGACGACACTACTGGTTATGATCTCAAGAATGGCCGTCCGCCACGAAGAACAGCCATCAACACCTCTGGACGCTTGTCGAGGAGGCTTCTGGAAACGATGCACCGCGAACAGTCACTCTTCCGTCATACCATGTTCAGCGAAATGTGGCCTGCCTCGTGCGCTCTGCACCACGGCCTTAAAGCTGTATACGCACCTCATCCTGTTTTTGTTGATCGTAAATGGCCCACGCAGTATCTCGCTGCTATTTTCAACAATGGTCGCAACGGCGCATCAGGAGGTGCTCGCCTCTCCGTCTTTTCTGACGAGAGGCAACACAACTTCCTCGGCACTACATGGTACTACCACGCCGGCTTTGCGCCCAACCTGTGGAAGCGCTGGATGGGATACAAGGTTGATAATGATGGTGGCGAGGAATACGAGCTGGCTCACGAAGGCCGCATGTGTCTTCCAGCAGTGTTGCTACATCCAGTCAAGCAGGTCGACTTGATACAAGAGCGGGTAGAAGAGACTCCAGCAGAAGAGCATTGATGAGCAGACATTTTGGTCATGGAAAAATTTGGTGTATAGGCGCAACGGGTCGGCTGTATTGGTACGCCATAACAAGCCCACATTTGAATTCTTGATGTAAACGATTAGACACGATCCCGCCATTCATGTTGTGATAATGGTAATATACGAGTTCGCATTTCAAAGGCGCCTTTTCTCTTTCTTCCCCCATTGCTCAGTAATCCACATGTGTATATCAAGATACCTTACACATTCCCTCTTCCACTATCAATAACTCCTCGGCAGCCCAAGCACCTTCTCCCCAATATAATTCAACACCATCTCCCTACTCACCGGCGCGATCCTGGGCACAAAACACTCCCTCAAATACCTCTCTACATCGTACTCCTGCGCATAACCCATGCCGCCATGCGCCAGCACCGCCCTTTCACACGCATTAAACGCCGCCTCCGCAGCAAGATACTTTGCGCTATTCGCCGCAACCCCCACCGCATCCGCACGAATCGACTCGTCACTCCGACTCGCATCGTACAGCCTCGCCGCATGATACGTCGCCAGCTTCGCGGCTTCAAGCCTCATGTACGCATCAGCCAGCGGATGCGCAACGCCCTGGTTCATACCGATTGCGCGACCGAAAACGCGGCGGTCCCGCGCGTACGCGCTTGCTCGGCTGAGCGCTGCATAGCCCAACCCAAGTGCTTCGCCCGCGAGAAGGCAGCGTTCTGCGTTCATGCCTGAGAGGATTATGCGGAAGCCTTGGCCTTCGGCGCCGACGAGGGTGTCGCTGCTGATGCGGTAGTTGTCGAAGAAGACTTCGTTTGCGTCGACGGCTCTGCCGCCCATTTTCTTGATGCGCTGCATGCTCAGACCAGAGTCGGGGGTGCGGTCGAGGGGGATGCAGAAGAGGCTGAGGGATTCACTGCGCTTATTTGCGGCAGAGGGTGCGGCGGTGCGCGCGAGGAGAATCATGCGGGAGGCTACTTGGGCGCATGTGATCCAGATTTTCTGGCCATTGACGGTGTATCCTGTTCCGTCCTGTTGCTTTTGGGCTGTTGTGCCGAGACTTAGTGTGTCGAGTCCTGAGTTCGGTTCTGTGACGCCGAAGCAGGTGCGGTATTCACCGTTGATAATTCTAGGTAAGGTATCGGAAAGTTGCTTTTCGTTCCCGTATTTAGCTAACGGCTGTGTGGCGTAGACGTTTGCGTGGATGGCTTGGGCCCCCGCGATACCTGCGCCAGATTCGGCAATGGTTTGAAGCATCATTGTTGCTTCTGAGATTCCTAGGCCTGAACCTCCGTACTTCTCTGGTAGGGCGATGCCGAGCCAGCCGTCTTTTGCGAGGGCGGCGTGGAAGGTAGAGGGATCTGTGGAGGTTTCGTCGTGGTGCCGCCAGTAGCTGTCTGGGAATTGAGTGCAGAGGGCTGAAATGGCTTCTCGGACTTCTAATTGGGTTGAGGTGAAGCCTGTAGTTTCCATGATATGGGGGCGAGGCGTTGTGGAGAAGTGGCATTTAATGTTGGTGCGTGGTTTGAAGAGCCTAGGGTGCACTGCCCGTAGGAAGGGGAACACTGCTAGTCTTGGCATGATTTCTGATGTATGTTGTTTACATTGTTATTTGGATGCGACGTTGTTTTGTTGATATATGTATGTGGTACTCCACCTACGTAGTTATAAAGCCGACTCGGATGCTTGTCATCTAGATACTAGATGGTACTAGCCGAGTCGAGATACATAGCCGAGCATGTGCTTGATCTAACCTCCCCTGCGTCGCGATAGGAACGACAGGTACTTCGACTTTGCTTCAGCGTCGCCCTTTCTCTACAAAATATTCGTAGTCAAAAACCTTGCAGTACTAGCTATAAGTAACTCTCTAGCTATCTTAGAATATACACCCTAAAATTATATGGTATTTATTGCTGTGTTACCTGGTTTGCGATGGACGTACAATAGCTGTGCACCACGACGACTGCTACAACAACGCCAACTTAACCTTCTGCTTGCTAAAAAATAGCGTAATATGTGCTAAGACCATGCTAATACTATCGGTCTGATATTGAAGCTTTTTCTAGTTGCATGTGTGCTACAAAGCTGGTCTCCTCTACAGAGGGAGGTACAAGCGACGTACAATAGCGACAAAAGCGGACGCGGTGGTATTATTATGTAGTCTTTGCCTGCACAGCCCTGCGTACTGCTCGGATATGACTCAGCACAGATCCTTCTTGCACTTCGTACCTCTTGCATTGAGTGGGCGAACGGCTGGGGGTGACTAGGGGGCGGGTGTGGCAGCTGTGCCGGCGCTTCGCAGCACCACTGGTGGGGCGCCATCTGCGCCGCCTGCTGCAACAGCGCACATCCTACAGCTCTCAGCCTGTAGCCTAGTCGCCAGCCTTGTTGCCAGCCTACAGAAAGGTCCCTCGCCCACTATGGACGCTCACTGTGTGTCTGCCGTCGACCTGACCTGTCAAGGTCTACAACCAACAAGCACATCTGACTACAAAACACCGTCATGGCGCAGAGCGTCGCGACCCAGTACGGCGGCGAGCCCAACCCGCTCGACACCACCGGCCTCTGCCTGCTGTCGCTTGACGGCGGCGGCGTGCGCGGCCTGTCGACGCTGTACATCCTAAAAGGCCTAATGACCCGACTAAACCACGAACGCCAGAATGCCGGTCTTCCTCGTGTAAAGCCATGCGAGGTGTTTGATCTTATTGGCGGCACAAGCACAGGCGGGTAGGTAGAAGACTGCATGACGGTTAGACACGACTAACGTGACAGACTTATCGCTATTATGCTGGGCCGGCTAGAGATGGACGTAGATGCATGCATCGCAGCGTATAGCGAGCTGATGAAGACTGTGTTCGAGAAGTCTAGCTGGCTTCCTATTAGCTAGAGTGGGAAAGTGAAGGCGCGGTTTGACTCAGCGAAGCTGAAGAAGGCTGTCGAAGATGCAATCTCTAAGACGGATGCGTCCTTAGCAGACGCCTTTAACGATGGTAGGAAGCGTGGGTGTCACACGTAAGTGTACTGCATAGGTATATAGCCTCGCACTAACACAGCACAAGGTTCGTCTGCGCGACGGCAAAAGAGACGGCCGGCGTCACACGCCTAAGAAGCTACACGCTGCCTGACGAAGGTGAGGTCCCTGCGACTATCTGCCAGGCAGCCCTTGCGACGTCGGCGGCGACGGGCTTCTTCGACCCTGTCTCGATCGGTGCCCGACACTTCGTGGACGGCGCGCTGGGTGCTAATAACCCTGTCGACGAGGTAGAAGGAGAGGCGACTAACATCTGGAGCCCTAACACGGGCGACCTAAAGCCGCTAGTTAAGTGTTTTATTTCTATTGGTACTGGGAACCCTGGTAAGAAGGCGCTGGAGGATAACATAGCTAAGTTCCTGTCGAAGAGCCTAGTTGGGATCGCGACAGAGACAGAGGAGACAGAGAGGAAGTTTATCGCGCGATGGGCGAAGCACTACGACGAGAAGCGATACTTCCGCTTTAATGTCGACCAGGGGCTGCAGGAGGTTGGGCTCGCTGAGTATAAGGAGCAGGGCAGGATGGAGGCGGCGACAGGCGAGTATCTACAACATCAGGCGCAGAAGTTTCGGGTGCGGGACTGCATTAAGAACCTACAGCAGAAGCAGAGTGTGTACATCGAGGACTTTGCCTAGATTATAGGACAGCTTAGCGCTGACGCCGCGTAGATAGAACAGAGCTGTCCTTCGCAACGTCGATTAGTGTAAGCCTACATTTAGTCCGTGGTGTGGTGAAAATGCTTAGCTCGTACAGGAATACACAATGCACTGCCTTACGCAGCAGCACAAGAGTAGGTAGTGTATGGTTTACCTTGAACAGACCAGTACTGAAGCATACGCAGCTCGAAATGTGCACTGGATGGTCCCTCGTCCCGTCAACAGCCTGTTTACTGGCCGCTCTGAGCTCATAGAGCGTATCCAAAACGCTTTACGCAACAACGACCCGGGCACAACCAAGAAGAAGCAACTAGTCATCACAGGCATTGGGGGCATAGGCAAGAGCGAGGTTTGCCTTAAGGTCGCGGACCTGATGCGAGACGAGTGCGTTGCCGCTTCGCTGTGCTATGTATTAGCGTGTTTGCTAACGGCCAACAGCCTCTGGGGGATCTTCTGGGTCGACGTGGGCAACCGGTCGACAGCCAAGAACGGGTTCTTAGCCATCGCAAAAGCACTTAAGACTTCTGCCGAGAGCGTTGAGGAGTCGCTCCAGGCACTTGCAAGCACAAAGGACTGCTGGCTGCTGATCTTGGACAATGCCGACGATCCAGAGGTCGACTATGCGGCGTACATCCCGCCGGGGAATCAAGGCGCGGTACTTGTAACGTCTCGCATCCCTGAATGTCGCCAGTACAGCACTGTGCCTCCTGAAGCGCTCGAGGGCCTGGACGAAGAGCACTCGACGCAGCTCCTGCTCAAAGCCACGCGCATGCCAGAAGAGTCTTGGCGGTCGTGCGAAGAGCAGGCGCAGGCTATCGTGGCACTGTTAGGATCGCACACGCTTGCGCTGATTCAGGCTGGGGCGTACATTGCAGAAGGATACTGTCGATTGAACCAATACGCAGAGAAGTACAAGCGGCTGCGCAAGCGGCTGCTAAAGCACTACCCTAAGCAGCAGCAGTCGCGGTATCGGCATATCTACGCGACCTTCGAGGCATCGGTAGCAGTGCTGAACGATGCTGAAGAAGAGGCGGGCCAGGACGCCCTAGACTTACTTGGAGTTTTTTCGATGCTGCACTCTGGTGTGCTTCCGCTTCACCTCTTTCGAGGGGCGTGGAGAGGAGGTCAATACGTGCTTGCGACAGACAATGACGAGATAGACGAGATGGACAAAATCGACGCTCTTCGAAAATGGCACGTGTCTCAGCTACCCGAGTTCATCGATAGCCAAGCAGATGAGTGGGACGACTACCGACTGCACAAAGCCAGCGCACTACTTGTCTCACTCTCTCTAGTGACAAGACACCGCTCAGATGAGCTTGACGGACTGTCGATGCATCCGCTGGCCCATTCATGGGCAAGAGATCGGCTGGGGAAGGAGCAGCAAGAGGCGTCTTGGGTACGCGTGGGATGCCTGCTCGCTTTGTCGCAGGGCCATTCAGAGGCGTGGCAGGTGTACGAGACACAGCTGCGGCCACACCTGCAGGCTTTCTTGTCGCCCAGCATCGAGGCGATGTTTTCGTTTGGCCCACCGGGGACGATGTTGCCTATCCTGTTGACGTGTGGCTGGGCGCTGAACACGATGCGAGAAGATAGCAGGCTCGAGGCACTGCTGGAGGGCCTCTATAAGGTTCTTCAGATAGCGCCGTCGGACCCGTCACAGGAACATATGCAAATATGGGACCTGTCAGCTAGGAACATAAGACATATGGGACACGCTAGTCAGGGGGTAGCGCTGCTGGAGCATGTCGTCAAGGTCAAGGAGACTACGCTGGCAGAGACTCACCCAGATCGGCTCGCATCACAACATGCGCTTGCTCTCGCGTATGATGCCAATGAACAGCCTCAAGAGGCATTGCCTCTCCTTAAACATGTAGTTGCTGTCGAATGTCGAGTTCTTAGTGACAACCATCCCTCGCGGCTTATCTCGATAAGAGCACTACAAGCTATAGAGTCACGGTTGGCAGCAGGCAAATACTGAGTCTAGCGGGTATCTCTCTCTCTCTCTCTCTCTCTCTCGTGTTCTTATGCTGGTTCTAGTGCTATCCCGACCCTCTACATTCTCTCCACTTTTGCAGTTACTTTCTACTTATTATACTACCTATATTTATAAATGTGTAAGATATTTTAAACGTGCTGTAATTTAGATTTTAGTATATTGTAGCAGTAAAGGCGTATGATAGAAGCTAGGCTATACAGAGTAACGTTAATGCTAAGCATTGCAGGGATACGTAGGGCTGCCCAGCCGAGGATTACATAACGGTACTACTCTAACTAACGTGTTCCACCAGTAAGCTGGACACACCAGTAAGCTGGACACCCCACCCAACCTAACGCCACTTTCTGTGCAATTGATTCACAACAACGCAATAAAATAAGATAAGATTAAGAAATACGATTCAATATCTAGTTTTACAGGTAGTCCGAGTATGCCCTTGAATATGGCACTTAGTACACGTCGGCGGCGCGCGCTGTCGTCGCTGACTGCTCTCACCCTGCTCAACCTCCGTGACCACCCTTTCTATCTCTGCAGTAAGCTGCTAAGCCTGCTAAGCCTGGAGCACTCCACCAGAAGCAATATATTGACGCCGTCTATCTTGCTTTTGTTTTTGACGCTAATTAGCTGCACGTAGTTTCTTATTTTCTTCAGCGAGTATAGTTGCTGACTGCATCGCTATTTAACAG